GATGCTCAGTTCCCTCCCCCTTCGCACTGGTGTTACCTGTGTGCGTGTGCCATGGATAGCATGGTACATGATGGGGTCTGCCGGTGTGTTCCCCGCTGTGAGGGATTTGTCCTGCTGAGGCACACGTGTCCGTGTGTGTGCAACTGGATGGGGGGGGGGGCTGCTGTTTTTGTGCAGGCATGTGCTTGCACAGGGTCCTGGCCGTGTTGCATGTGTGTCCTTGCACAGGATGATGGGGCTGCAGGGGCAGGGAGGGGTGGGCTCACATGAGGCTCTGGCCATGTGCACATGCGTGTGAGTGCGTGTCCTTGCATGGGGTGATGTGGCTGTGGGAGCACATCTCTGTGTGGACTCACAGCAGGCTCTGGCTATGTGCACTCACGCATGTGTCCTTGCATGAGGCAATGTGGCTGCATGTGTACGTACCTTTGCACGCTCCCATGGCACTTCTTGAGCCCATGCATGTGTGCTCGCACAAGACTGGCCCTGCTCACAGTTGCTTGTCTCCGGAGCTGCGTGCCTCCTTGCACACCACGCTGAGTGGCTGGCAGCCCCTGTTGCAGGATGCTGCCCTGCAACCCGGCTCAGAAACAAGGATGGGGGGAGGGAGAGAGATCCCTGCCTGTGGGATCCAAAGGACATTGCGTCCCCTGAACTCCCCGCGCTGGCCTGGCTGCCCAGCACAGAGCCCAGCTGACAGAGCCTGCGGGGCTGGCAGAGTGGGGGGGGGGGGAAATGAGCACGGGGTCCTTCGTACTTGTCTGCACAACTCGGCAACACGCTTAATCTGAAGCGACACCCCAGGGCTGCCGTACCATGCTGGAACTGTGATACTGAGGATGGTACGGGGACAGGGACTCATGCCTCTCCGAGCAGATCCATGAGGATGGGAACTGGTGTGGCAGAGTGGCTCAGGGGCCCAATCTTGGACTCCCAGGATCCCCGTAAGGGACAGCACCTACACTCGCTGCAGTGCTGCTCACCTGTGGAACTTCCTGCTACATGATTTTGTCACAACCATTCTCTGGATCTTGGCACTTTATCAATGTATGTCTACACAGGCCCTGGTGTGGCGGGGCCCGGGTCTCAATTGGTGCACCATGTGGCATGTCTGGGCTCTGATCTCAGCTGACACCAGTGCAAATAATAATGCGTCAACTCTTCTTAGAATTTACCCGCCCAGGATTTAAGTGGTGGCTGTTCCTGGCTCAGTGGTGTAATTCTACTTGTTGTGCTGTGCTTAGACACCCAGGTTGCTATGATACGGAGAGGAAGAATGAGAATTGTTTGATCATTTTCTTGTAGCAGAGAGTTCCTCAGGTGAACAATGTAGCACTGAGAGCCTGTTAGACAAGGGCCAGTGGGGGTTTCACCTAAAGTTCATTGGATGTTGCTGCTAGCACCAATTTTGTTCTGCATCTGTGTGCATAGTGGGGTGTTTAGGGGAGAGCACCCTTGATTTGATGTGCCTTAAACTTAATCAAGACAATACTGGTCTTGACCCTGATTTGGGGTCAGGAATATATTGCAATCCAAGCTTCATGGCATGAATCCTAGTTGTGTTTCTCCTAATTCCCCAAAAGAGCTGGGTGGAAGGAGGCCTTTGTGGTTAGGGCACTGGGATTCAGGATTCCTGGGTTCAATTCCCAGATCTGCCAACTCGTCCCTGAACTCAGGAGTCCTGACTCCCCTTCCCCCGCTCTAACACATTGGACTCCACTCCACTCCCAGAGCTGGGAATAGAGCCCAGGCAACCCGATTCCCAGCCCCCTTCTCTCTAACCCAGTAAACTCCACTACCCTCCCAGAGGTGAAGATAGAACCGAGGCCTCCTGTCCCTCCCCCCCGATTCACTGTGTAAAACCAGCCCCCATGTTCATTCTTCTTCCCCATCCCGTGTTTGTGACTGCATTGCTCCAAACTGTGGCTGCATGGAGAGCCCGCCATCCCCTTCCAGCTCCCTGTATCTCCCCCGAGGCTGACCTGCAGGCCACCACCTGGCTGGTGGGAATGTGACCCCATCACTCTGGGCAGCAGGAATCAATAGTTAATTAATTTCCTCCTCTAAAATAGTCAAGGGGGGTTGGGATGGTAAGGGGGGGATGGAGGGGGCTGGGAGTAGAGGGTGCGGATGGTAAGGGGGGGACAGAGGGCAGCGGGGAGGGAGTGGGGATTGTAGAGGGAGGGAAGGAAGTAGGATGGTAAGGGGGAGGAGGTGCAAGGGTGAGGAGAGATGGGGGTTGAGGGGATGAGTTGGGGGAGTGAGAAGCCCGGGGAGGAGGTTCGACTGAATCCAACCCTCCACTACAGTCTCATCCCTTGGTGCAGTCTGCTGGGATTTGGTGGGGGCAGGAAAAACTACCCCTCACCCCCCCCCCACCCGAGCGACCCAGTGGGGATGATGGCGATGAGGAGGGAGAATTGAGGGGCTCAGAGCCCAGCCCCCCAGCACACTGCTCAGGCGTCAATCAGTGCCTCCCCTCGCACAGGTGCAGCATTTAATGTGATTGGCTAATTATGCAGCGCATGCTAATGGCCCCCATTACCCAATGAGGGGCACAGACGAGGCACAGTTATAAATAACCTGCCGTACCTCATTTGCATGATGCCATATCCCCGGTGCTGTGTTACCGCGGAAACCGCCCCTTCCCCCACCCCATTTACATTTGTTCTTTTAATAGATTTTTGGGGTGACAGGGTGTTAATGAGGGTTGGTTGCCATGGTCGCTGGGTAGGGGTAACAGGTTCGACCAATGGGCCCACCCACCCCAGTATCTCACCTCCTCCTGCCGCCTTGCATCAGACCCATGGGCCCATCCAGCCCGATATTTCCTGCCCCACCCCCAGATAAGACCCATGGGCCCATCCAGTCCCTGCTGCCTCCAATCAGACCTACTCTCTGTTCCCCTCTACCCCACCCCCTCCTCTTTCTGCTCCCTTCCCCCTCTCGCTGTACCCCCCTCTGCCTATAGTATGCCAGTGGTGGGTGGGTTATAAATAATGCCTGACTGGCAGCGCAGTGATGAGATGCAGATTGTCGCAGGGGGGAGGGGGAAGGCTGTAAATGGCATATGGCCCACGGGGAGGGTCTGATCAAATAACATGGCGGTGGGGAATGGTCTGTGCAAATAACGGGGTGGGCTGGGATTGTCCCTGTGCAAATAAGCCAGTGTGGGTGGGAGGGCTGGCGGGAGCTGCCCTAGTCCCCTGGAGGTTGGCATCGAAGGCAGCTGCTCTGGTCACCTACCCCTGGAACAACTGGGGCTGGGGCCCTGTGCAAAGAACACAGGGTGTGTGGCTGGGAGAGCAGTCGGCACTGGGCCCTCAGCAGGGTTGCTTGGGGGTCAGATGTCAGAACAAGTCCAAAGGGAGGGTGGAGGAGCAAAGAGTAGACTGAGGGGAGGAGGGAGCAGCATCTGTCCCTATGACAATGGTATGGCCTGCTCTGCCCCTCCCCCCATCCTCCCTGTGAGAATAATATGACCTGCTCCCTCCTCCCCCCCATCCTTGCTGTGAGAATGGTACAGCCTGCTCCCGCCCCTCTCTCGCTCTCTCTCTCTCTCTCCCTCCCCCCCCCCGTGAGAATGGTATGGCCTTCTCCCACCTCTTCACCTTCCTCCTCACTGTGAAAATGGTACGGCCTGCTCCCACCTCATCCCCCTCCTCGCTGTGAGAATAGTATGACCAGCTCCCTCCTTCCCACCCATTCTCACTATGAGAATGGTATGGCCTGCTCCCCCCTCTCCTCCCATCCTCACTGTGAGAATAGTGTGACCTGCTCCCTCCTCTCCCCCATCCTTGCTGTGAGAATGGTAGGGCCTGCTCCTGCCTCTTCCTCCCTGTTCTTGTTATGAGAATGATGTGGGCTGCTCCCACCTCTCCCCACGTCCTTGCTGTGAGAATGGTACGGTCTGCTCCCGCCTCTCCCTTCCCTTCACTGTGAGAATGGTATGGCTTGCTCCCTCCTCTCCCCCTCATCTTTGCTGTGAGAATGGTATGGCCTACTCCCTTCTCTCCCCCCCTCCTCACTGTAAGAATGGTATGGCCTGCTCCCACCTCTTCACCCTTCTCCTCTCTGTGAGAATGGTACGGCCTGCTCCCGCATCTTCCCCCCCCTCACTGTGAAAATGGTATGGTCTGCTCCCGCCTCTCCCCTCCCTTCACTGTGAGAATGGTATAGTCTGCTCCCGCCTTTTCACCTTCCTCCTCACTGTGAGAATGGTACAGCTTGCTCCCCTCTCTCCCTGCCCATCCTCGCTGTGAGAATAGTATGACCTACTCCCTCCTTCCCATCCATTCTTGCTGTGAGAATATGACCTGCTCCCTCCTTCCCCCATTTCTCGCTGTGAGAATGGTATGGCCTGCTCCTGCCTCTCCCCCTCGTCCTTGCTGTGAAAATGGTACGGCCTGCTCCGCCTCTTCACTCCCCTCCTTGTGGTGAGAATGGTATGGCCTGCTCCCACCTCTTTATCTCCCCCCTCCCCATCCTTGCTGTGAGAATGGTATGGTCTGCTCCCCCCCCCCCCCCCCCCCCCCCGTGTGAGAATGGTAAGGCCTGCTCCCTCCTTTCCACCTGTCTTCCCTGTGAGAATAGTATGATCTGGTCTCATCGCTCCCCCTCCCTGTGAGAAAGGTACAGCCTGCTCCCACCTCTCCCCTCCCCTCCCCTCACTGTGAGAATGGTATTGCCTGCTTCCTCTTCCCTCTCCCAAAATCCTGTTGGATGGGGGGTGGGGTGCTACTTGGCCTCCTATGTGAGCTCTGATTGGCCACCCTCCTACAGGAGGTGGGGAAAGTGGGGAAGAGCAACCAATCAGAAGAGGTTCTGGGCTGGAACTACTATGAGAAGAGGAATTTCTGGGGAGAGTAGCCAGCCCTAGGGTTGGGGGAGGGGGTGTTCCCTGAACGCCTGGGTTCAGCCCCCGGCTATGGGAAGGTGGGCTGCGTTAACCCTTTGGTGCACGTGGCCTGGCCTCACACGTCTCCTCTCTCTCCTCGCAGCTCCGCCCTCCTGTGACGCGACGCCGGAGCCGGGCTGAGCACGCCCTGTGGGCGCGGCTGGCTCTGCACCCTGCCGGAGGAGGATGCTGTAACTTGCTGGAGCTGGACCTGGAGCCTGTGATTGGTGGAGGCTGGGTGGGGGGAGGGGGTTGATTTGGTGGGGGCCTGGATTTGTTCTCTCTGACTTCTGGATATTTGGATTCTGGCATCCCATTGCCCCTTGTCACTGAGTGGTAGTGAAAGGCCACCACCCTCCCTCTGAGCGGAGCCCCCCACTCATCTCCACCTGCTCCCCGGCCTGCAAGGAAGGCACCGCACCCCAACCCCGCCTGCCCCTCCCTCCCCCCATCCAGCCGCCTGCCCCCCCCCATGAGGATCTGAGGCTGTGGCAGTGGGGGGGCGGCGCCCAGCATTTGCCTTGAGGGGGGGGCAGGGACAGATGCGACTGGGCGCCATGGCCAGACTGCTGCCCTTGGCGCTGCTCATGGGTGCCCTGCTGGGCCCCGGGGCTGGCGGGGCAGCGCTGGAGTTTGGTGGCGCCACGGGGCAGTGGGCCCGCTATGCCCGCTGGGACGCCAGCTCCTTGGGGGAGCTGAGCTTTAGCCTGAAGACAAACGTCTCGCGGGCGCTGGTGCTTTACCTGGACGACGGAGGGAACTGCGACTTCCTGGAGCTCATGATCGCTGACGGGCGCCTGCGCCTGCGTTTCACCATCTCCTGTGCCGAGCCTGCCAAGCTGCACCTGGAGACGCCCGTGGGTGACGACCGCTGGCACATGGTACTCCTGACCCGCAACTACCGGGAGACCATGCTGGTGGTGGATGGCGAGGCCAAGGTGGCCGAGGTCAAGTCCAAGCGGCGGGACATGGCGGTGGAGAGCGACCTCTTTGTGGGGGGGATCCCGCCCGACGTGCGCCTCTCGGCGCTTACCCTGAGCACCGTCAAGTACGAGGTGCCCTTCAAGGGGCTGGTGGCCAACCTCAAGGTGGGCGACACGCCGCCGGCCCTGCTGGGCAGCCAGGGCATCCGCAGCGACACGGAGTACCTGTGCACCAAGCAGAATCCCTGTGCCCACGGGGGGCTCTGCAGCGTGCTGAATGGCGAGGTGCAGTGCGACTGCAGTATGACCGGCTTCCAGGGCAAGTTCTGCAGCGAAGGTGAGACCCCAGGGGACAGGAGGGGAGGGCGAGGGTTTGGAGCAGGGGTGTGGCCCAGATGGCTTACTGTCCCTCCCCAGAGTGGGGGCATTGCCCTAGGGACAGGCTGGGCAGCAGCAGAGAGAGCTCGACCCTCCCACACCCTCACAGCGTGCTCTCCCCTTTCCCAGAGTGGTGCCGGGAGAGAGGGGCTTGGACTTGTCAGTTCCGTCAGCCCTTGGCCTCCGCTTTGTGCCACTAGGAGCCTGGCTGAGCTGTCACAGCCGTGGCGCCTGACTGGCCGGGATGGGCTCTGTGCAATCCAGGAGAGAGTATGGGGTGTCAGCTATCCAGGTTTGTGGTGCAGATTTGGGCCTGGCCCCATCTCTTCTTTGGCAGCTTCTAGCAGGGAATTCAGAGGAGGGGACAGGGATGGAGAGGCTGCAGGCTGGAGCCTTTGGGGATGTCGCTTTGTAGGGATCTTATTTATTTTATTATCGGGGTTTGTTTGCTGGTGTTGCTGTTCTGTGCTGGTTGTCGAGGCTTACAAGGTTAGAGCACGGGGCTGGGAGCCAGGACTCCTGGGTTCTATGTCAGCTCTGTGAGGGGAGTGGGGTCCAGTGGTTCTAGAGGCTGGGTTGCTGGAGTGGGGGAGTCTCTGGCTTAGGTTGGTGGTTGGGAACTGGGTTATACTGGCTTGGGGAGGACACTTTACCAGCTTAGCCCAATGAAGTTTGGCTCCTGGCCTACTGGGTGTCCTGGGGCAAGTCACTTCCCCCTCTGTGCCGCAGTTCCCTAATCTGTAAAATGCAGGGAATAATCTGACTCTGTGTGTCTGGGCAGCGCCTGGCCCGACGGGGACCCTGACCTCAGTGTGGGGTTTGGGTCAGTGCAGTGCTTCCCTGACGGAGGCCCCGAGCTCAGTGTGGGGTTTGGGTCAGTGCAGCGCTTCCCTGACAGGGGGCCCCGAGCTCAGTGTGGGGTGGGTCAGTGCAGCGCCTGACCTGACAGGGGCCCCGAGCTAGGTTGGGAGACTTTTAGTGCTATTGTAAGGTCTGGCAGGTTCACGGGTACCAGGCTGGCCTGTGTGTTGTCCATCTTCCTTGAAAGCCGAGTGAGTCAGACAGATCGGCACAAAAAGCCTCATATTTTTTTGTGGAAAATTTTGAAAAAATCCTTTTATTGCCCATGCAATTTCCTGTGATTTCTTTTTAATGAAAACCCACCTGTCTTCCCCCCCAAAATCAGTTTTCAAATAAACATTTTGGTCCCCAACTGATTTTTTTTCCCGCCTCATTTTCAGTTTTTCAACCAGAAATCAGAAAATTTTAAAGGGAAGAACATTTTTCCGAGAGGATTTCCCATTCCTTCCGTAAAACGTGTTATTTCAAAAATAAAGTGTCCGTGAACACTTCCTGCCTGAGCCCTGAACTCAAGTCACATTCGTGCTACGTGGCCAGTGAGTTTGTGTGGGTGGCTACTGTGTTTTTAAGTGGTCCCGCAGGACCCGCCTTGGGCCTGGTTTTGTGTTTCCCAGCACCTTGGCCAGCCATTGTCACCGGTGCTCAGTGACTGTGATGTGCTCAGAGGGTTTTGCACCAGTGCACGGGGGTGCTCCTGCTCAGTGCAGCTACAGGGTCAGCCCCTGCCCTGGACAGTTTGTTTTCTCAGTAGATGAAGGAAGGATGATTATCCCCTGTTTTACAGATGGGGAAACTGAGGCACAGGGTGATGACAGGTAGGAATTGAACCCAGATGTCCCAAGTCCCTCCTCCTTCCCTAAGCCCGAGTGCCCCTGGAGGTCGCTGTGAATGTGTGAAATGGGCCAGCATGCCCGAAGTCAGTATCTGCTTTGGGAATGCAGTGGCCAGTCGCTGTATAGAGAGGGGTGGCAGCGCCGTTGGAGTGGGTGCGTTCTAACGGGGGATCGAGCAGGTGACCAAGGTCAAATGGCTGCATTTCCATGGGGACAGCAAATTGTGGCATCAGTGTTATCAGGCTGCTTGGGAACAAACTACCCAACAGGGCCCTGCGCTGTGCTGGGCATGTTTGTACACACCGTCCCCCCACGCATGTGTGCTCTCCTTGTGCCAGTTGGTAGAAAACCCCTTCCCTGTGACCGAGAGTGGGGTTCCCGTCACACTGCGCAGACACGCACTGACAGGCCACGCCCCAAAGAGCTCACATGCGAAATAGACAAAAGGTGGTGATGGGGAAACTGAGGCATTGAGCGGGAAGAGACTTGTCCAAGGTTGGGGCAGAGCTGGGATAGAACCCAGGAGTCCTGACTCCCAGTCCAGTGCCCAGCCACTGCAATCTGCTGTCTCCCCAAAAATGGCAAAAGAGGGTTTACTCTGGTGAGAGCAGAGATCACAGAGCTGGGGAGCATTTGGCTGGGACGGGGTGCTGGAGGGATACATAGTGAGGATCAGACAGAGAAGGGAGACAGGAGCTTAGGAACAACCAGACTGGATCAGATCCATAGGCCCACCCAGCATCGTCTTCCCCAGCCTGGTATCCCCCCCTTGCCACCCTCAATCGGACCTGAGGCCTGCCCAGCCTGGTATCACCCCACTCTGGCATGTTGAGTGTAGAAGGTGTGGGCCCGCAAGGATTCTAAAAATTAATGCTGGCCATTCCAGGCTGGTATTAAACTCCCAAGGTCACAGATTCTCTCTGTCATCCCTGTGGGGTACCCTCAAGCCCTTTCACACCCCCCCCCCCCCGGAAGAGCCGAGAAAGAAAAACAAAGGAAATCAGCTGTTGCCACCAGCTAATTAAACAACATATGCACAAACATCTTAGGACACACAAAAACCCCCAATCCTGTTCTTAAAAAAGGTAAATTTGATTAAAACCAAAAAGAAAGAAAATACATCTGGAACTTAGGTTATTGCTAGATTTAAAAAGAGTAACTATAATAATTAATCATCAAGAATGGTTTTCTTGAGGTCCAGGTTAATGGTTACAAGCAAAACAAAAGCATTTGGGGGTTAGCACAGAGGAATTCACAAGCCAATAAGGGAAAAAAAAGAGATAAACCTAATTGTGTCTTCCTAGACATTCTCTGATCTACTTACATATCTGGGGGTTTCAAATAACAAGTTTCTAGGTATGATCTGATGGTTTTTCATACGTGGTTTAAAGCTTCCTACAGCATAGTTCAGCCCCGTTCCTGCTCTGTCTTTTCTCTTCCCGGAGAACAACAGACAGACAGACAAAGGAAAAGTTTTTTCCCAATTTTAAAAAGTCCTAGCCCTTCCATTGGCTCTTTTGGTCAGGTGCCCACTCCCTTCCTTTTACCTCTGGGCTTTTTTAACCCTTTACTGGTAAAGCAAGCAGAGAACAGCTATTAACAGGTATTTTATAGCTGGCTGGGTGTCCATAAAAGGGAGGCCCCCCCTCCCCGTCATTTATCACACGCCCCCCAAATCACAGATGGTGTTGACCAGCCTGGTTCAGGTCAGGTCCACACCAGCTGGGATTTCTTCCTGGAGGTTTAGGAAACAGAGTTAATAAGATACGTGCACCTCTAATTTTACTACTAATTACATGAAGAACTAAACAGTATTTTTCACATTTCAAGGACTACAATGACTTAGAATACAGGGACATTTTTACCCGGCTGATTCTGGGAAACCTTCCCAGGAGAGTGCATCAGCCACTTTGTTAGAGGCTCCTGAAATGTGTTATATTTTAAAATCAAAGTCTTGAAGAGCTAAACTCCACCGAAGAAGTTTTTTGTTAGTTTTTTTGGCTCTGTGAAGCCACTTCAGTGCAGCATGGTTAGTCTGCAGGTGGAAACGGCATCCCCAAATATATGGGCGTAGCTTCTCCAGAGCATACACAATGGTTTAACATTCTTTTTCTGAGACTGAGCAGTGGCTTTATTTCTCAGAAAGTTTTTTGCTGAGAAACACGACAGGATGGAATTGTTGATCTGTTCCTTTCTGCATTAAAACTGCTCCTACACCACACTTGGAAGCATCTGTGGTTACGACGAACGGTTGGTCAAAGTCCAGGGCCCTTAGTACAGGGTCAGATGTAAGGATCACCTTAAGCTGGTTAAAGGCTTTGTGACACTTTCTCAGTCCACTGAACTGCATTTGGGTTTCTTTTTCTGGTTAGGTCTGTCAGTGGGGTGGCAATTTGGCTGTAGTGTGGTACAAATCGTCGCTAATACCCGGCCAAGCCCAAAAAGGATTGGACCTGCTTCTTTGACTTAGGGACAGGCCAATTTTGGATAGCATTTACCTTAGCCTGTAGGGGGTTGATAGTTCCTTGACCCACCTGATGTCCAAGGTACGTTACCCTGTTTAGGCCTATTTGACATTTTCCGGCCTTAACAGTTAATCCTGCCTCCCTTGTGTGCTGGAAGACGCTTGGAGGTGTTCTGCCCATGAATCTGAGAATATAGCCACATCATCAAGGTAGGCTACTGCAAATTCCCCAAGTCCAGCCAGAAGGTTATCTGCCAGTCTCTGGAAGGTTGCGGGTGCATTTCACAGTCCAAAAGGGAGCACATTAAATTCATACAGCGTACATGGGTGATGAAGGCTGACCTTTCCTTGGCTGGGTCATATAGCGGCACTTGCCAGTACCCCTTAGTTAAGTCTAAGGTGGAGATGAACTGGGCACATCCCAGTTTCTCCAATAGCTCATCTGTGTGTGGCATTGGATAGTTTTCTGGGTGAGTTACAGCATTTAGCTTACAGTAGTCCACGCAAAAGCAGATTTCCCCATCTGGTTTGGGAACCAGAACCCCTGGAGAGGCCCATGCCCTCTCAGAGGGGCAGATTACACCCATCTGTAACATGTCCTTGATTTCCCTTTCTATTGCGGTTTTGGCTTGAGGAGCCATCCAGTAGGGTTGGGCTCTAATTGGGCGATCATCACCTGTGTCAATGGAGTGGTACGCCCGTTCTGTCCATCCTGGGGTGGCTGTAAACATTGGCACGAAGCTGGTGCATAGCTCCTGGATTTGCTCTTGCTAATTACGCCCAAGGGTGATGGAAAGGCTC